GTCAACTACTTCCTGTGACATCACACAACTTGTAAGATCTTTCAAGATCTTGTATGACTTAAAATGATGTGAAGCGTAAGATAATTCATGTAAGATCTTAAGTAAGATCAGGCATATACATCTTATCAGTGATATTGTAAGATAAGTCATGTAAGATCTTAAGTAAGATCAGGCCTGTACATCTTATCAATGATATTGTAAGATAATTCATGTAAGATCTTAAGTAAGATCAGGCCTGTACATCTTATCAATGATATTGTAAGATAATTCATGTAAGATCTTAAGTAAGATCAGGCATATACATCTTATCAGTGATATTGTAAGATAAGTCATGTAAGATCTTAAGTAAGATCAGGCCTGTACATCTTATCAATGATATTGTAAGATAAGTCATGTAAGATCTTAAGTAAGATCAGGCCTATACATCTTATCAATGATATTGTAAGATAATTCATGTAAGATCTTAAGTAAGATCAGGCATATACATCTTATCAGTGATATTGTAAGATAAGTCATGTAAGATCTTAAGTAAGATCATGCCTGTATATAGTAGCTAAGATTGATCCAAATAAGATCTTATAAGGTTGTTCTTAATTCTTATCTCACCTTACTTTATCTGATCAGATAATACAAGATCTTAGTAAGATTTTTTTGCTGGGTAGATATGGTATGAGTCATTTTTATATTCATTATTATTAATAATACATTTTGTCCAGTGTATATATGTAGAAAGTTTGAGCTTGTTCTTGTCACAATTTTTTTGTTGTGAGAAATATTTTGAATTGTTCAAATTTTGGCTTGACTTTATGATTTGTTCGTTGCTAAAATTGGTTAAATTTTCATAGCCTTAATTTACTATTTTCTTTTATTATTATTTATAACAATAAATGTGATTATTATTATTTTGCTTATAGGTCATTCTGCTCTTTATATAAAACCATTTTTACATTTTAAAGAGCAAGACTCAATTAATAATGTAAATTTAAAAAGGGAAATTTTATTCCTTTTTTATTTATTTATCTTTCTTTCTCCCTATACCCTCTTCCTTCATTTCCCCTCTCTCTTGCTATTATTTTAGTTTGATCATTATATGAAAGAGTTTAGTGTACAAGTTCATTCATTTATTGATAGTCATAGCTCTAATGTCCATATACAAACAGAGGAATAACAATTATTAATTATAACATGTATAAAACTAAGTATTATCAATAGTATCATTTTTATTTCATGTACAAGTTGTGTATGCATAATTGCATATCTATATATCTAGTGAAGTCATGAAGAGTCAAAACATGCACTTGGAGTCACCATGAATGGCCACTACTCAGTTTTTCATAGCTACACAAGATTATATTGTGTTAATGATTATGCATTCTACTTCTTGAAGTGGTTTAAAGTTAGAAGATGGCAATAAAATGTACATGTATGACTAAAATAACAAAAGATATTGCATACCAGGCAAGCATAATAAGCAACAGCTGTATGCCCAGCCCCAGCATAAACAACCATTGTCCTTGTGTATTTTTGCCATTTCCTGAAAGAAAGTAATGCTTCCAGCTATATTAGACCAACCAATAAATGTTAAAGGGCATACTAAAAATGCCATGGCAAAATTTCTGATACCTCATTTTTACAAATTAATTTTTGTTGACTATCATCAAAATTTTCACAAAACTGAAAAATCAGGGAAATGTTTAGTTATAACACATACTAGGGCTCATTGATGCAGATGTCATTGATGTGGATTGTGTTGCTTCACTTGTGCTTTTAACTATTATTGATATCATCATGTAGATTTAAGTAACATAAACTTACCACCACTATTGGTAACAGTAGATGCAGTCACAGAAAAAGATGTAATAGTAGGAACAAAAGTACAAATGATGCCTACAGTGAAGAAAGTAGTAGACATAATAAGAATAATGCTGAGTCAAAGACACTTCAGCTATTAGCAGAGATAGTTATAGTAAATTATTACAACTAACTTATTGTAGCTGATGCAGTAGGACCAGTTCCTAATACATTAACAGCAGCCACTCCAACAGTATATATTGATCCTACTGTAACATCAGGTATATTGTACATGTATGTAGTGGCAGGAGCTGGTATTGTTATAGTAGTATAAAGATCAGTGACATTAAAATATATGATATAGTTTAATAGAGGAAGAGGCATTGGAGTATCTGGCTATACAAAAAAACATAATCATAAGTAGATTGATTGTTTAAGTTACTTCATTCCATGATACATAAATACTGAGACCGGTCTGATTAATGAACAAGTCAGTTACAGATCCAGGAACTATTCAGTTATTAATAAATTCATAATCATTAATGTACTTACCATCGGCTATAAATGTTATTTTACTGGTAGGATCCATATATCTACCACCAGTATCAACAGCTACTACATTAATAGAATATTCTGTATCATTAGTTGAATGTACTGGTAAACTCAGACTAGTATTAGTAGTATTGATAGTATATTCAATACTAGTAACATTAACACTGTAATGAGATAAACAAGGACTGGTTGATTGTGGAGTCCAGGAGAATATAAGAGTATCAGAAGTGAACTTAATATCATTAGAAACAGGAGCAGCTTAAACATCTGAAATTAAAAATAACAAAGACATTACATTACAGGACGTATACGCACCTGCAATTATTATAGAACAACCAAATGGTGTAGTACCAATTATATCACATAGAATAGTATAATTATTAATGGCCAGTACAGGACTGAATGATATATTAGACCGCATAGGATCAGCACTGGAAGTAAGGATAGTTTCAAAATAAGTGCCAATGATTCTTGGTGTAGAAACATTTGTTCTTTCAACATATGCAGTTGTACCATTTGGTATATTATCATTATTAGATCTACTACTATCACGTATACCCCATCTTAATACATCATCATCAAGGCCAGCTCCATTCTCCCCACTACACATATAAGACACTGGTTCAGAGAGGCACAGAGGTGAGCTGGTACATCCAACAAACAGTGTCATAGATGTACCTAGAAATTGTTTGATTACATCTAAGCCTTAGGCTATAGATTTAGCTTACCATTCACTGACAGAAGAAGGCACAGGAGGACAAGGAGACAAAATGCAGCTTTCTATATAATTAATTTTACTTGCGAAAGCTCGAAGCTCTAGAAAACCACGCCTTTATTCCAGTTTTAACGCTAGCGCTAGCACTATAGCGCGCTATGGAGATGAGAATGCATGCTAAGATTTATCTCCTATGCATTCTTCTAGCTCTATCTTTAAACAGTAAGTTCATAATAGTCAATAGCCTGCAATGATGTAGATCTAAGTAATCAAACAATTTTTAGGTACTGGTAGTACAACAATATTTACTGGATGTACCAATTCACCTCTATGTCTCTCCCAACCAGTGTCTTATATGTGTAGTGGGGAAAATGGAACTGGTTTAAGTGATGATTTATTGAGATTGAGAATTCGTAATAGTACAAATGCTCCAGATGGTGGAACTGCATATGCTGAAGGAACAGATGTTTCTACACCAAGAATCATTGGTACTTATTTTAAAACTATCCTTACTTCCAGTGCTGATCCTATGAGGTCTAATATATCATTCAGTCCTGTACTGGCCATTAATAACTATACTATTCTATGTGATATAATTGGTACTGCACCATTTGGTTGTTCTATAATAATTGCAGGTGCGTATATGTCCTGTAATGCAATGTCTTGTGACATTACATGTTATTTTTAATTTCAGATGTTTTAGCTGCTCCTGTTTCTAGTGATATTAAGTTCACTTCTGATACTCTTATATTCTCCTGGACTCCACAATCAACCAGTCCTTGTTTATCTCATTACAG